CTAAAGTATTTGATCGGTTATTCAATGTACTGAGTGTTGGATGAGCAATGAACTCCATGTTATTCCATGTATTCATGAGTGTTGGATTTGATCGGTCATTCCATAATTGTTCAACAAGATCATCATGAATATACATGCATAACCGTGATTCCTTGGAATGCAAATGTTGATACGGATTGTATGGCACTGCGAGCTGCATATACTTGTCTTCTGTGAGTTTTCTCAAGCAGAATTCACGCACTACATCATGAAGTGAGCAGTATTCTACATCACGATTAATTCTCATTCCGGAGACCATTATTAGGCTTCTGTTCAGCAAATCACTCAAGCAAACTCGACATGCTTCCTCCATGTTCTCTGTTCCGGCATTCAATACAAACTCTTCAGCCATCCACAACTTCAGCAGATCGTCCACTGGAATCTTATGGTCCTCTGGAAACAATCCCATTTGTAGCTTGTTTGAAAATCTCAACTAATAACGTCCGCCTATTATATGCTTGCGATACAGCACACCATGTTTTAACATCAAAGTAATTAACAATAGAGGGATTGTTATACACCTTACTTGCCAAAGTTGTTTTACCGAGTCCGGGCATTCCACAGATGGAGATAAGATCCCGCTCCTTTGTTCCTCGTATCAATTTCTTCATTATAATTTCTGCATCTTTCTCAAAGCCCACAACTTCATCATCATCATAAATTGATGCAATACTACGTTTGTTAATTTCAACAACATCCATTTCAATTGGCAATTGTGGAAACTACTAACCGGACTACTGCCTTGAGTTAATTGCTCTATCACCTTTCATTAGGAAAACAGTTGAAAAAAAAAACATTATTTCATAGAGTAGTAACACAGAGGTGTTATAATTGTAAGAAAAAAATAACAAAAAGAATCCGATCAAGGAATTGTACGGTATAATGATGTCAAAGTAAAATTTGATGCTTTAATTTTACAAATCTATTACAAGACAAGCTAAGCAATAACTCTACTGCCCACTATACCAAATTACCAACTAACTCAAGTTGATATAAATTTCATCAATAACTCAACGTAACTAACCCTAGCTACTAACTCGACTTAACGATGATTACAACTGAAATGATCTAAATTACTTTATAGCATAGGAATAGATCTTACACCGTTAGAGCACAAGACATTAACCGCACATAACAACTAAAGACTCAAGAAAATAGAGTAAAATGTATGTTGAATATGAAAAATAAATAAAACAATTTAGAAATCTAACCTTGAGATATTGAGAAGAAGACTGCTTGGTTTGATGCTTTTGGGTTTAGAGAAATGGAAACTGAGAAAGTAATTAAAATAAGCCAAACCAAAGAGGTTCGAATGGATTTCCACTTGCAAATATGTTAATGAGCTTTAGAGTTAATTAATGAAGTTGGTGGTGGCCGGTACCTGAATATTAATTGTAGGAAATATTATAGAAAGACTTGCTTTTAAGCAATAATTTGAAATAATAGTCAATTTAAGAAAAGGCCAAATACATAAATTTGCCCTCATATTTCATTTAGGTACTCTATTTTAATTTTGTTTCATTTTAATCTTTCAATTTTATTTTTTTATGTATCATTTAAAACACAAAATACTAGTATTATGATTTCTTACTTTTTTTTTAGTTATATTTTTAATTGCAGTTTTGCATTTTAAAAATTGACGTATGTCAGTTAGCTTACGTAATAAAAAATTAATGGATAAATAGTTGAGTGACTTTCTAAGTGAAATGTCAATAGTTAAGTAACTTTTGAGTTATAAAAAGTTGAGTGACTTTCTAGGTGAACAAATTTAAGTTGAGTGATTTTGTAAATGAACTATTCAAAGTTGAGTGACCATTTGAGATATTATCTCTTGGTTTATTTACAAATCAATATTCCTACTACAATTATTAATTAATTATTACTCTTCATTCTATAGGATAAAAGTAAGGAAAAAAATATTTGGATGAATACCTTTTAATAAATAACTACTGATTTTAGCGATACTTTTGATTTATTACCATTTATAGCAATACTATGATAAATCTGCAATATGTATTAAAAGTGAATTATATATGCAATATATATGTATTATAACTGTTTTTTAAAATATATTATGTTTGTTTGGTAAGAAATTAACACGTATTATAATTGTATTAAAATGTGTGATAAATGTATTATCTATCAATAAAATTTGTATTATATGTGTTCTATAAATTGTTCACTGTAATATATATTAAAATTGTATTATAAATATAATAAAAGTGAAAAAAAATGCTATTTCTATAAATGATAAATATTTTCTTAATATAGTATATTGATGTAAATTTCCTAAAAGTAAATGGCAGCTGAGATTGATTTTTAAGTTTGTACTCACTACTCAGTTCTATAAGATAAGATTTTGTACTATCTTTATTCTACCATGATATACAATATTCTTAACTAGAAGAAGAGGGATCCTTGCAAACACTAGATTTAATGTAAGCATGAGATCAATACAATGAGTAACCACCCTCCAATCAAGGTGTATGTTTTATTCCTAAATCCAAATTAGTCGAATTAAAAGATTCACCTTTCAAGTGGCTAACTATATAGGAAATTGAATTGCAACCTCAGCTTCCTAATTAAAAAGCTCCCTAATAAAAACAGAAAAAAGGCATAAAACATATACTGTATCATTTATCTTGGCCTCAATTGGTATGTATGTTTTTCAATTTTGGGTATGTACAAATAGACATTAAACTTGAATATAGTTGAACGAGTAGACACACGTCCTATATGACAATTTGTGTCCTACATGGTATCCTACATGTATTATGTTACGTAAAATGTGTGTCTACTTGTTTATTTTTATACAAATTTAAGTACTTACTTATGCACATCTAATGTTGAAGGGCATAACTGTTAGCTAAGATCAAGTTAAAAGATATGTATGTCTTATCTTCAGGGACATCGATAAAAAGAATCTGAATTATGCTTAAAAAAACAGACAATAATGTGACAATACAGAAGTAGAATTAAGAAGTGGAAATAGAGCTGGGAATTCACAGCTTTGAATTGCTTTTAAATACATTTAATTATTTATTACACCTAAAACTTGGAGACTGTCACATCCTGTGTTTTCTTCTCTGTCCCTTTTGATATTCATAGCTGAAACACCAAGTGAATGGCTGCAGTAACCCAGTCTAATAAGTCGCAGTGTTGGAATATCCGCAAAGCAAGGAGGGATCTCCTTGAAATTTTGACCAGTAGCTTCTATAGATAGCTCCTCAAGAACGGGAAAGGATTCCTCTGAAGCTTTCCATTCGTCTATATGCCAACGGAGTAATGTCAAGTATTTGAGTGCAGGGAACTCAACATTTGTAATGTCCCAGCAATAGAGGCTCTCACTCTCAGATATCCTGCAAGGAACTCCCGTCTCTAATGTGAGACTCTCAAGCTTCCGCAATCTTGCTATGTTTGAAACCATTCCTTCCCTCAAGAAACAGCCAGCAAAGTACAGATGCCTAAGATTTTGAGGGAAGACAAAATTGCTCTTCCATCCAACTGAATCCCAGAATTTCAAGGAACTTAACTCCAGAGAAAGAGAATGAAGGCAAGTATAAACTTCTGGTATGGGAAACAAAGGAAACTCAGGTACATATTTCATTTTGAGGCCGAGTTCTTCAAGATTTGGAAACCTCCACAAAAACCCTGGATTCATATTATCCAAGCATATATTGCAAGTGTGAAAAGTCTTCATGTTCTCTAGCATAGTTGTTGAAGTTTCATCACAACTTCCTTCGTCATTGAAATCCCATACCACGGAAGACCTATTTATATTCACATGCCTTAACTTTGTCATTTCCCATAAAGTAGAAGCCCTTAGCCATATCCTCTTCCTTGTTTTGAGCTGCAGAGTTTGGAGATGGTGTAGGTGTGATATCCACTTCAATTGAAATTGTTTGACATAAAGTGCTAGGTACCTCAACTGAGTTAGCGATTGCAGTACAGTAGCCCATGAATTTGGCAATTCCACATCCATCAAATACAATGCCCGAATAAATCTGAATTTAACAACTAAATCTAATGGATTTGAATATTGGTTATTCCATGTATTGAGTTTTGGATGAGCAATGAACTCCAAAGAATTTGTTTCCTTGAAATCCAGCATTGGAATCTTATCCAACTGGTATTCAGAATAATCTAATTGTTTAACAAGATCATCATGAATATAAATGCATAACCGTGATTCTGTGGAATGCAAATGTTGATACGGATTGTATGGCACTGCAACCTGTATATAATTGTCTTCTGTGAGTTTTCTCAAGCAGAACTCACGCACTACATCATGAAGTGAGCAGTACACTACATCACGATTAACTCTCGTTCCAGAGACCATTACTAGGCTTCTGTTAAGCAAATCACTCAAGCAAACTCGAGATGCTTCCTCCATGTTCTCTGTTTCGGCATTCAATACAAACTCTTCAGCCATCCACAACTTCAGCAGATCGTGCACTGGAATCTTATGGTCCTCTGGAAACAATCCCATGTAGAGAAGGCAAGGCTTTAAATGGTCTTCTAAATGGTCATAACTTGATTGTATTACCTTCATACTCTGCTCCCCCAAAGCAAGAGAACTTAAGTTATTTGCAACCTCGAGCCACAAGGACGTTTCCCTTTTCATTTTCGCAATAAACCCAGCAACCAGGACAACCACAAGAGGCAATCCCTTGCAATGTTGGGCAACTTGTAACCCTGCTTCAAGTAGATTCAGGGGACAACTCTCTCCTTGAAATACCTTCTTCTCCAATAATTTCCAACTCTGTTCGGATGTTAGAAAGCTAAGAGAATAAGGATCACTATGGTGCTGAAGATACTTAGCCACTTGTTCAATTCTTGTTGTAACCATTACTCTGCTTCCATATTTACCTTGAGGGAAACATAAACCCAAATCTTCCCATGCCTCGACATCCCAAATATCATCTAATACGATGAGGTATCTCTTGCCTATTAGAACCCTGCGCAACATGTCAGCTACATCATCGTCTTCTTTGATTTCGATCTCATCATTTGTAGCTTGTTTGAAAATCTCAATCAATAACGTCGTCCTATTATATGCTTGCGACAAAGCACACCATGCTTTAACATCAAAGTGATTAACAATATAGGGATTGTTGTATACCTTTCTTGCCAAAGTTGTTTTACCAAGTCCTGCCATTCCATAGATGGAGATAAGATCCCGCTCCTTTGTTCCTCGTATCAATTTCATCATTATAATTTCTGCTTCTTTCTCAAAGCCCACAACTTCATCATCATCATAGATTGATGTAATACCAGGTTTGTTTGAAGGCTCTCCAGAAGAAAGAGTTCCTTTAGCACAAGTCTCAACAACTTCCATGGATTGAGTTAATTGCTCTTTCACCTTTAATAAAAGAAATGAAAACAATATCATTTCATAATTTAGAGAAGAAAAACACCCAAACCAAGTTCAAATGATTTGAATTTTTGTTGTACTACAATTTACAAACCAACTTGAAGTAGTTAGTTACATATTTGAATTAATTACATGATTTTATAAGCGAAAAAAGATTTAAAAAAAATCTCACCTTCCGTTGTTGATTGTGGCAAACAGAGATCAATTGCTCCAAAGGGTTGCCCTAAATTGATGGTAATAGAAATTAAAAAAATGACAAATACTTGTCGGCTTGTAGTGGGAAATATCAGCAACTAAATAAATACAATAATTTAAGATTTTTCTAAAAAAATAATTGAGTGTTCACAAATAAAAAAAAAGTGATTAAAATAAATTAAATTATTTTAAAATGGTGAATGCCCATGTGACTTATGGACCCACCCACTGTAGCAAACATCCATCCCAAGTAACATACATTTTCAGACTTATAAATAGTCTAATATTCTTAATTCTTTTAAAATGTACGGGATAAGGATCTGAAAAATACCTTAACTTTGGTCGAAATTGTTGTTGCGATATTAAACTTTCATGATGACCTATTACCTCCCTAAACTATTTAATACCGTATTTTAAACATATATATTTGCCCACGTGGACATAAAAAATAATGTAAAATTATAAATAGTAATGTGTCCACGTGTGCACATATAGACCTTTAAAATACACTATTAAATAATTCAGGGGGTGAAAAATACACTATTAAATAGTTTAGGAAGGTAATAGGTCCTTATGAAAGTTTAGTATCGCAACAGCAAATTCGACCAAAGTTGGGGTATTTTTCAGACCGTTTTCCCAAAATGTAATATACATTTTAAAAATATATTATTTGATATATATTACTTTCATCTCGAATTAATAATATTTTCTTTTTAATTTTCATCACTTTGTAACACAATTTGATGTTATTATTAATTTTCACTATGAATAATGCACAAAATTTAAATGATAAGATACAAATTTTAATTAAAATACAATACATAATATAATAATTTAAATACAAAATAATAATACAATACATTACATAACATAATAATTTTTAAAATCACAACCATAATTTAGTAATTCGGTAGTTTGATTCTAGATTTAACAATATTCGAAAAAGGAAGTATGTAGTGTATGATTTAGAGAAGTTGTGGTTGTAATTGCGATCGTGCTTGTCGATTTCTTTTTTTAATTATGCTTAGTTGTTCTTTAGAAATTTAGAATAAGATATAATTTAATATTAAATAAAGAATTTCAAAAATTAAATTTTATATAACATAAAAATTATATAGGATGATTATTAAAGAAAGAAAAGATTTATATTACGAAATAAGAAAATAAAATGAAATAGAAATAATAATATAATATTGAGGAGAGAGAAGGAGATTCTTTTTTTAGATAGTAAATAGAGAATTCAGTTGGAGTTGGTTGTCTGGAAAAATAGAGAACTCTATATTTTGAGAGTAAAATAGAGTGTAGGGTTGGAGAAGCCCTTAGGATAAATGTGTATTATTATTTGTTGTCTTATTTGCTTGATATCTTTCTATTTTTTAATCGGAAAAGGGCCAAAAATACCCCTAGACTATTCGAAAAGGTTTAAAAATACCTCTCATTCATCTATTGGGTTAAAATACCCCTCCATCCATCTTTTTGGTCCACAATTACCCTTAAAACAAACAATCATTTATTTTTTTAATTATTATTATTATTAATTATTATGTGGCATCTTTCTATTGGATAAATTTAAATTATAACCCACCAAAATTTTTCCTACCCATTTGACCCATATCCACATTCTTTGACCCAAACCAAATTATAAAAATCATCAAAATTAAAAGATTTGATCATCTTCTCTCCCCTTCAAACCTAATAACCTATTTTCTTTCTCATCATCATATACAACCTCAATCAATGATAACTAAAATAATTCATATATTCATATCAGTGATCAACCAAGAACTAGCGAATTTAATACCAATTAGAACTAAAAATCTCTTCTTGATTGTGTTTGAATTTGGTCAATGCCACCATTAAAATATAGTCAAATAGAGCTTTTTAGTGTAACTCCACTATGAAAAGTTGAATCGTTTGAAAAGGGTGTGATCCAAAAGGAAGAAATAAGAAGACCCAATTCAGGTTACCTCAATGCCACCATGAAAACACAATCAAGAACAACTCTTTTAGTGCAACTCCACCATGAAAAGTTGAATCTTTTGAAAAGGGTGTGAACCAAAAGGAAGAAAGAAACAAAACCCAAGTCAGATTACCTCAATGTCACCATAAAAGCACGATTAAGAAGAGATATCTAGTGCAACTTCCCCTTAAAAAATTGAATCTTTTCACATGGGTGTGAACCAAAAGGAAGAAACAAGAAAGACCAAATTCAAACACAATCAAGAAGAACTTTTTAGTTCTATTGATATGACCAAATTCAAATACCAATATGTTAATTTCAAACTTAAATACTAATTGATTCAATCATTAATTTTATCTTGAAATTGTTGAATAAGAAAAGAGAAAAAAAGAAAATAGGTTATTAGGTTTAAGGGGAAGAGAAGAGATGATCAAATCTATTATTTTTGGTAAAGTTTTTAATTGGGTTTGGGTCGGAATGGGTCAAATGGGTAGAAAATATTTTGGTGGGTTGGAATTTAAATTTATCCAATAGAAAGATGCCACATAATAATTAATAATAATAATAATTAAAAAAATAAAAGGTTGTTAGTTTTAAGGGTAATTGTGGACCAAAAAGGTGGATGGAGGGGTATTTTTAACCCAATAGGTGAATGAGGGGTATTTTTAAACCTTTTCGAATAGTTCAGGGGTATTTTTGGCCCTTTTCCGTTTTTTAATTTATCGGAAATAATTTTTCTAACATAAAGATAGGGATAAGATTTGCTTAAATATTTTCTGATTTAAATAGAGCACACTTGGTATGCTACTGTTGTTGGTGAGCAGAATTATTATAGTGTTCATATTATCCTTTGGGCTGGTAGTTGGCTCACTGATTTGGGCTTGAAACTGTCATGTTAGAGCCTAAAGGTCTCAAGTTCGAGATCCTTGTTGGCCTCTGGGTTGAGCTCATTGCATCGAATTTGCCTAGTTTATAATACATCTGAAACAAGAAACAAACTCTTTTAGGCAATTTGTACAAATATTTCACGAGTCACCAGATGACAACATTGTTCAATTATTCACAAGTAAAACTAGATTGACAAGATTTTGTACTGTCTTTATTCTACCTGAAGTTAAACAGACTATAGAAATGGAAATAGAGCACCTATGAAGTGCATTTATTTATTTTTTGTAACAACTTGGAGACTGTCACATCCTGTGTGTTCTTTAATGTCTCTTTTGATAGTCATTGCTGAAACCACAAGTGAATTGATGCATTTGGACAGTTCAATAAGTCGCAATGTTGGAATATTTGTAAAGCTAGAAGGGATCTCCTTGAAATTGTGACCAGTAGCTTGTATAGATAGCTCCTCAAGCACCGGAAAGGATTCCTATGAAGCTTTCCATTCGTCTATCTGCCAATTGAGTAATGTCAAGTATTTGAGTGCACGGAACTCCACATTTCTGACGTCCCAACAATAACTCTGTGATCTCCTCCAAGGAAATCCCACATCTAATTTGAGACTCTCAAGCTTCTTTATACTCGCAATGTTTAAAACCATTTCTTCCGTCAACAAAAAGCCAGCAAGGTGCAGATGCCTAAGATTTGTAAGGGAAAACAAAATTGCTCTTCCATCCAACTGAATCACAGAGTTTCAAGGAAGATAACTCTAGAGAGAGAGAATGAAAGTGAGTATGAACTTCCGGTATGGGAAACTGTCACGCCCCGAGCCTACACCCTGGGCGGGATCGGCACCCGGAGACCATTTCTGGCCCCAAGCGAACCCTTGGCCTGGCTTTCTTAACTCAGCGGAAACCTCAACAGAATAACTCAATGCAATGCAACATCTCAAAACAACTTAACTTATAAAAAATGGCCATAAAGGCAACTCGAATCTCAAAATATAATATTTACATATATATATAGATGAGAGACTCAAAACTAACTGACTGACGGTCTGTCTATGAAGCCTCTAAAAATACTGAGATGGATGTTAGGACAGACCCCGCAACATCCCAATAAAAACAAAGAACACCAAAATAATCGAGTCCTCCGGAATGCAAGGAGGCTCACCACTGACTCTGGAGTGCTCAGCTGGATCAACGACGTGCAGGATGCTGATCTGGGGTACCTGAATCTGCATCATCAAACGATGCAGGCCAACTGGCATCAGTACATGGAATGTACGAGTATGCGAGCTGGAAAACTAAGCAACAAAGGCTAGAAGGAAAAAAATCTGGAAGAAACTGAATAGCTTACCTGGCTCAACTCAACTCAACCTGACTGACTTCTTTCAATATAAGGCAATTTTTAAAACAAGTGCGATATAAAGAAAGACTGTTTAAAACATGCTATAAACTCTGTATGTATACAAAGATACAATAAGCCTGAAATGTATATAGAAATACAATGAACTGATGTATATAAAAATACAATAACTTCTATGTATGAAAATACAATAACTGTTGTGGGAGTTTCTCTAACCGACAACCATCACATGAGAGCTATAGTGATGATACAGCGATCGACCTCACGCTGCCAGAGCATCTTATACCCGGCCAAAAGTATAAGACATGAACTGCCTAATGGATCCACTAGTCTAATATGAAAAGGATTCATCTAAAAAGTATGATCCTTTTCTTCCCATGGTGGCTAATATGGTTCTATGGGGGCTGTGGGTTCTTTGAACGCTCCCCCAATTCGGTGCTCGATACTACTCCCAAAAATGTACTGGCTCTTATGTTTTTAAAACATATTTATTCCTGCTGATATGAGATACTTACTCAAAAACTAGCCCGAAGGCTCTTTTGGAAATCTCAGTTTCCAACCTTGTTTAAATGTAAAAACATTTCTTTAAAACTTCTTTGGGAATACATAGTTCCCTAATAACATTGAGAACGAACTCAACTTTAAACTCATGACTTAACTTGAAACTGAGACTCTTACTCGACTTGAAACTCTATACTCTTTTTCTTGACTTCTAACTTCACTTGACTTGGAACTATCTTTCCTTGAATCGGAATTATGAATTCAGGGTGTCCGATCACATGTTATGGAGGGATTCTTGAACGCTTAGACGTACTTTGGTGTGTCGGAAACAACTGTAAAACAGAGGTATAATACTTTGAAATATGCATGAGAGAGTGAGAAAAGAAATGGGGGAAACTTGACTGAGGCTTCAGATTTCTGGTGACACAGATGGCACCTACGGACGCCATCGACGGACCGTAGATGGACTTACGGTCCGTCCTGCAGGTCCGTAGCTCACGTCAGAAACTTCCCCAGAATTCATTTAAATAAAATGACTAAGTGTTGACCTACGGTCCGGACTTACGGTCCGTAGGTCAGGTTACGGACCGTAGGTCAGGTTACGGACCGTAGGTCGTGCCCGTAGATCGATGCTCAAGAACACATCTTCTGTCCCGATTGACGGTTGACCAGTACGGACCGTCAATCGATCTACGGTCCGTAGGTCACGTCCGTAGATCGGGATCGACAGCCAAAACTTTCTGGGAATTGATGGTGATTCAACTTCAAAGGGGTCACAACTCTTGGAATCATAATTCCCTCAATCATACAATAGGTTTCAACTTAAATACACAACCTAATCATGTCTCACAACGAACAATAACTTCAAAAACATCAACAACAACTAACAACTTCAACACTTCAACAACAATTCCAATCTTTTCTCAAATCATAGAATAAACTTAGTGTGTGTGAGGGAAAGGATCAACCCACACGAAAACTCACATACCTTGATAGGGATCACCCCCGACGAAAATCCACAATGATCTTGTTGATCTCCTCTTTCTTCTATTCTTCTTCTTCTCCTTCTTCTCTTCTTCAATCTCAAGAACCCTAACTCTTTTTCTTTCAAAATGGGGCAAAATGGTCCAAATATCAGCCTAGTACAACATTATGAGCTCAAAAGAAATGATTTGTGAAAAGACCAAAATGCCCTTAATTTTCCGGACGGATTTCCCTTCCAACTGCCCAACTTCTAAAGGGCATAACTCCCTCATACGAACTCGGAATCGAGAAAACTCGGTGGAGTTGGAAAGATCATTCCACGAGCTTCGCAACCATAACTGGAACTACTCCTAACTCATCCTGAGCTAGGAGTTACGACCACTCAAAGTTGGCCAAAACTCACTGATTTCCACACTTAACCAAATTTCCAGATTTTTTTTAAATTTTCAAAAAAAAATGACTATTTCCAAATTTCAAGCTCCTTCAAAGCCACTTAAATTGTCGGATGTTACAGAAACAAAGGAAACTCAAGTACATTTTTAATGTTGAGGCTGAGTTCTTCAAGATTCGGAAACCTCCACAAAAACCTTGGATTCATATTATCCAAGCATATATGGCAAGTGTGAAAAGTCTTCATGTTCTCTAGCATAATTGTTGAAGTTTCCTCGAAACTTCCTTGGTCATTGACATCCCATACCACAGAAAAACCATCTATATTCACATGCCTTAGCTTTGTCATTTCCCATAAAGTAGAAGCCCTTAGGCGTATCCTCTCACTTGACTTTAGATACAGAGTTTGGAGATGGTGTAGGTGTGATATCCACTTGAAATCAAAATGTTGGACATAAAGAGCAAGGTACCTCAACTGAGTTAGCAATTGCATTGCAGTAGCCCATGAATTTGGCAATTCCACATCCATCAAATGCAATGCCCGAACAAATCTTAATTTAACAAGTAAATGTAAAGGATTTGAACATCGGTTATTCCATGTATTGAGTTTTGGATGAGCAATAAACTCCAAAGAATTTGTTTCCTTGAAATCGAGCATTGGAATCTTATCCAGCCGGTAGTCAGAATGATCTAATTGTTTAACGAGATCATCATGAATATAAATGCATAACCGTGATTCCGTGGAACGCAAATGTTGATACGGGTTGTATGGTACTGTGAGCTGCATATACTTGTCTTCTGTGAGCTTTCTCAAGCAGAACTCACGCACTACATCATGAAGTGAGCAGTATTCTACATCACGATTAATTCTCATTGCAGAGACCATTACTAGGCTTCTGTTATGCAAATCACTCAAGCAAACTCGAGATGCTTCCTCCATGTTCTCTGTTCCGGCATTCAATACAAACTCTTCAGCCATCCACAACTTCAGCAGATGGTCCACTGGAATCTTATGGTCCTCTGGAAACAATCCCATGTAAAGAAGGCAAGGCTTTAAGTGGTCTTGTAAATGGTCATAACTTGATTGTATTACCTTCATACACTGCTCTCCTAAAGCAATGGAACTTAAGTCCTTTGCAACCTTGAGCCACAAGGAGGCCACCCTTTCCATTTTTGCAATAAATCCAGCAACCAGGACAACCACAAGAGGCAATCCCTTACAGTGTAGGGCAACTTGGAACCCTGCTTCCAGTAAATCCGGGGGACAAGTCTCTCCTCGAAATACCTTCTTCTTCAATAATCTCAAACTCTCTAACGTCGTTAGAAAGCTTAGAGAATAAGGATCACTGTGGTGCTGAAGATGCTTAGCCACTTGTTCAATTCGTGTTGTGACCATTACTCTGCTTCCATATTCACCTTCAGGAAAACATTTTTCCAAATCTTCCCATGCCTCGACATCCCAAATGTCATCTAATACGATGAGGTATCTCCTGCCTATTAAACTCTTGCGCAACTTGTCAGCTATGTCATTGATTTTTATCTTATCATTTGTAGCTTGTTTTAAAATCTCAACCAATAACTTTCTTCTATTATATGCTTGCGACACAGCACACCATGTTTCACATCAAAGTAATTAACAATAGAGGGATTGTTGTACACCTTTCTTGCCAAAGTAGTTTTACCTAGTCCTGCCATTCCAAAGATGGAGATAACACCCCGTTCCTTAGTTCCTCGTGTCAATTTCTTCATTATAATTTCTGCATTTTTCTCAAAGCCGACAACTACATCATCATAAATTGATGTAATACTAGGTTTGTTTGAAGTCTCTCCAGAAGAAAGAGCTCCTTTTCCACAAGTTCCAACAACCTCCATGGCTTGAGTTAATTGCTTTGTCACCTTTCATAAAAGAAATGAAAACATCATTTCATAAAAGCCGACAACTTCATCGTCATCATAAATTGATGTAATAATAGGTCTGTTTGAAGGCTCTCCAGAAGAAAGAGTTACTTCTTCACAAGTCTCAACAATCTCCATGAATTGAATTAATTGCTTTGTCACCTTCCATAAAAGAAATGAAAACAACATCATTTCATAATTTAGAGAAGAAAAACACCCAAACCAAGTTCAAAGGATTTGAATTTTGGTTGCAAATAATCTTTGTTGGATAAACTACAAACCAATTTGAAGTATTTTATAAGCAAAAAGAAGAATAAAAAAATCTCACCTTCAGTTGTTGATTGCCCTAAATTGATGGTTTCAGAAATTAAAAAAATGACAAATAGTTGTAGTGGAAAATATCAGCAACCAAATCAATACAATAATTGAGTGTTCACAAAATTTTTTTAAAAAAAAGTGATTAAATAAATTAAAATTTATTTTTAAAAAGTTCAAAAAAAATTGGGACCCACAATAATTTTTGCTTTTTGACTAAAAGTCTCTTTCTTTTCTTCTCCTCTTTTCCCCGTTTGCTTTTTTTTTTTTCTTTTTCTCTTTCTTATCTACTTATCTACGGAGTAATAAAATAAAATAAGTTTTCCTTCTTTTAACTTTATTCTTAAAAAAAAAAAAAAGTTATGGTAACGGAAAAATGTGAATGATAGACAATTATTACTATATATGAATATAATAAAATTTTAAAAAAAGCATTTCAAAGTTTTATGTATTTTATTGAAATTATAAATTTAAAAAATTAAAAATAATTTATATATATATAAATTAAATAATTAACTATTAAATTGGTGTATCTAACCGTTCAAATGTCAATATTTATATTTTGATAAAATAAAAAATGTTCTGATTGAATTTCTCGGTGTGGAAATATTAAAGATTAGTCTTTAGCGTAACTAATACCGGAGGAAATTATCTTGTGCGACTATTTATAGCTTAAATAGAAAAAAGTAATTATATGAAGAAAAAAAATCATGTATCATTATAAATTCATTGAATGAGTGGATTGTCCATTTCGTTATACATGAACTGCTTAAACTCATGTATTGTTATGAATTTATTGAATGATTGGATTGTCTATTTAATACATGAACTACTTACGTTCATGTATGCATATTTAAGAGAAGATTTGAAGATATTTGAATAAGATGATGTCTACATTCTAGTCTCCATATATCTTATCTATATTCCATATATTTTATCACATGTATTTTATTTACCGATTCATGTATTGTTCAATGTGCAATAGAAAAAATATCATATAATCTAAATTCTAAAGAACAATTATATTTATGATAGATGTAAAAGAAGAAACAAACTCTTTTTGGGCACTTAAGGTACTATTTTGTTGCATTTGGTATATGGATTCTAAAATCTTTTTTTTTTTACTCCTAGAGTCAAATTTGCTTTTGAATTTTGAGAAACGGACGAACTTTATTCTATCTAAAAGTTGAATTGCAAACTCCAACATCCAGCATGGTTTATCTTCAGTACATCTCTCTTTAGGTGGTTTGATGTGACAAAGTATATGTTCCACCAGATCTGAGGGTAAAATATCATTCAGAATATCCACGTTCCATTCTCCTTGAGTGGCAAGATCTGCTACCTTGACGTAAGTCTCATCCCATTCAAACTCATCCCCTGTAATTGTGTACAAATCCCCCAGTCCTAAAAGGATAAATGCAGAGGACAAAGTTAAGTAGTGTTAATTGTGTAGAGTCCTTATAGTTATAGTTTAATATAGTAATTATATTGATATTTTTTGTTTAATATTTATGTATGGCTAAAGAACAAAATAACAAATTACTTATTATATTCTTAATGGCTTATCGGTTAACCCAATAATCCAATATTAAAAAATCAATATCAAACCGATAATCCAATAATATTTTTATAAAAACCATTAAATAACCATTAACCCAATAATAATCCAATAACAATAAACTAATAACACCTTTTCGGTTCAATTTTGCACCCCCTAATGTCATCTGTTTTAATATATATTAATTTCTGAAAGTCCGACTTTGATAGAGTAGTCTGTGTGCTCGAGTAATTTAGGCCTTTCAAAATCAAATAAGCAGTCTAACAAATTCATGAGCATTACAAGATTGAATACACATACAGAGAATTGTTTCCTCCATATATATGAGATGGAAGAAATTAAAGAGGTGTTTTCCTCTATCAGTTTTATTAGTCCTTCAATTTAACAACTTGGAGACTGTCACTTCCTGTGTTTTCTTCAATTTCTTTTTTGAGTTGCAAAGCTGAATCAACAAGATGGTCGTTGCAGTCAAACAGTTCAATAAGTCGCAGCGCTGGAATGTCCTGAAAGCTAGGAGGGATCTCCCGGAAATCGAAACCAGCTTTTATAGATAGCACCTCAAGCACCGGAAAGGATTCCTCTGAAGCTTTCCATTCGTCTATCTGCATACGGAGTAATGTCAAGTATTTGAGTGAAGGGAACTCCACATTTGTGACGTCCCAACAAGAGCTCTCTGATCTCCCCAAAGGAATTCCCAACTCTAATTTCAGACTCTCAAGATTCTCCAATCTTGCAATGTTTAATATCATTTGTTCCGTTAAGAAACAGCCAGTAAGGCGCAAATGCCTAAGATTTGGAGGGAACACACAATAGCTCTCCCATCGGCCAATTGAATCCCAGAATTCCGTGAAAGATAAAACCAGAGAAAGAGAATGAAGACTAGTATGAACTTTCGGTATGGAAAACAGAGGAAACTCAGGTACACATTTAACGTGGAGGCTGAGATCTTCGAGATTTGAAAACCTCCACCAGAACCTTGGATTCTTATTATCCAACAATATATGGTAAGTGTGAAAAGTCTTAATGTTCTCTAGCATAGTTGTTGAACATTCAAAACTTCCTTCGTCATTGTCTTCCCATACCAACGAAAAACAGTCTATATTCACATGCCTTAGCTTCGTCATTTCCCATAAAGTATCAGCCCTTAGGTGTAACTTCTCATTGGACCGGAGCTGTAGAGTTTGGAGATTGTGTAGGTGTGATATCCACTCCAATTCAAAATGTTTGACAGAAAATGCAACGTACCTCAACTGAGTTAGCGATTGCATTGCAGTAGCCCATGAATTTGGCAATGCGACATCCATCAAATGCAATGCCCGAACAAATCTTAATTTAACAACTAAATCTAAAGGAATTGAATATTGGTTATTCCATGTATTGAGTTTTGGATGAGCAATGAACTCCAGAGATTTCGTTTCCTTGAAATGGAGCATTGGAATCTTATCTAGCTGGTAGTTGGAATGATCTAATTGTTTAATAAGATCATCATGAATATAAATGCATAACCGTGATTCTGTGGAATGCAAATGTTGATACGGATTGTATGGCACTGCGAGCTGCATATACTTGTCTTCTGTGAGTTTTCTCAAGCAGAACTCACGCACTACATCATTAAGTGAGCAGTATTCTACAACATGATCAATTCTCATTCCGGAGACCATTACTAAGCTTCTGTTAAGCAAATCACCCAAGCAATTTCGAGATGCTTCCTCCATGTTCTCTGTTTCGGCATTCAATACAAACTCTTCAGCCATCCACAACTTCAGCAGATGGTCCACTGGGATCTTATGGTCTTCTGGAAACAATCCCATGTAAAGAAGGCAAGGCTTTAAGTGGTCTTCTAAATGGTCATAACTTGATTGTATCACCTTCATGCTCTGCTCTCCTAATGCAAGGGAACTTAAGTCATTTGCAACCTCGAGCCACGATGACGCCTTCCTTTCCGTTTTTGCTATAATTCCAGCAATCAAGACAACAACAAGAGGCAGTCCCTTACAGTGTAGGGCAACTTGTAACCCTGCTTCCAGTAGATCCGGGGGACAACTTTTTCCTCGAAATACCTTCTTCTCCAATAATTCCCAAGTCTCTCCGAACGTTAGAAAGCTAAGATAATAAGGATCACTGTGGTGCTGAAGATGCTTAGCCACTTTTTCAATTCGTGTTGTGGCCATTACTCTGCTTCCATAATTACCTTGAGGGAAACATGTTTCTAAATCTTCCCATGCCTCGACATCCCAAATGTCATCTAATACAATGAGATATCTTCTGCTTATTAGACTCTTGCGCAACATGTCAGCTACATCATCGTCCTCTTTGATTTCGCTATCAGCATTTGTTGCTTGTTTGAAAATCTCAGCCAATAACGTCCTTCTATTATATGCTTGTGACACAGCACACCATGCTTTAACATCAAAGTGACTAACAATAGAGGGATTGTAGTACACCTTCCTTGCCAAAGTTGTTTTACCGAGTCCAGGCATTCCATAGATGGAGATAACATCCCGCTCCTTTGTTCCTTGTGTCAATTTCTTCATCATAATTTCTGCATGTTTCTCAAAGCCGACAACTTCATCATCATCATAAATTGATGTACTACTAGGTTTTGTGGAAGGCTCTCCAGAAGTTTCAACAACATCCATGTCAATTGGCGATTGTGGAAACTACTATGATCCGGCCAAACTATCTTGAATTAATTGCTGTCACCTTTCATTAGGAAAAATGAAGATGCTATAATTATAAGAAAAAACAACAAAAAGTTAAATTTGATGCTTCAATTTTGGGTTTAGAGAAGTCGAAATTGAGAAAGAAGAGGATGGACATATATTGAAGAATGAATAGTGATACTATAAATATATAGTACTACTAGAGGCCTTAAAATAAAAATTATATAAGCAATGTTTTTATTTTAAATCTATTTTTCTAGTTTTTTGAGATGCAAAGTTGTTAATAATTTTTGTGTAGTCAATTTTATCTAATAATTCTTTTTCAATCGATAATATAACCAAATCACTTAATCTTTCTTGAGACATTGTCGATCTTAAATAAGATTTTATTATTTTTAATTTTGAAAAACTTCTTTCGGCTGAGGCGACTATTACGAACTTGTGATTTCATTATCAACATTCTCATCAAATTATTATTTTTTCTATAAATTACACGTTTCTTACGAAATACAGTTCTATATTCATCTCTAATGCAATTTTCTTAGCCGAAATTATAGGATATGTTTTATAGTTCAAAATAAGTAAAAAAATTTATTCAAAATGAAAATGCGTCAAAAGATATCTTTAAACCATGTGACATTGAAAAAAAAGAGGCTCTCTAATAGGTTAGTTTAAAAATATCATTAATATTACTTAATAAGTAGAAAATGTTCTTTTCCTAATAAATATATTAGTATTATTTTTCTTTTTAAACATATTCATTCCTCATAAAATATTATTAAAAAAATCCATTTCTGGTTTCTTTTCTTTTTAAAGTTACTTTAACCAATAATGAATAATAATTAAAATTGAAACTTCATTTATTTTTAATTAATAATATAAGTCACGTATATAAGATCATAATAACTTATGATCATTAATTCAGTAATATTCTTTAATCGCATTTTCTTGGTTAACTTTAAGCTCTTTTTATTTGATTTGCGTCTCTACTTATTTACTAGGCATATTATTCCTTTAAGAAGTTAAATTTTAGAGTCAAATTATCTTATAGTTAATATTTTTCTTAGAGGACGTGCATAAAGTAAAATAGACAGGAGGAAATTTTATTTTTTTTCTATTCTTAATATTAAATAGCTATATCATGATTGGTCGTTTTTCTATTCTTAATATTAAATTGCCTGAAGCTATTTCACGATTGGTCGTTTGGAACCATCGCACCTGGTGAGAGCTTGAGGTGTTCGTGGTGGTTACACACAAGGCAAATAGACATTTTGTGCAGTATGAACATCTGCTATCCAATAATCTTTCTATCTATGAGCTACATCAAGTATTTGCAGATTTATTATCTATCAAGTTAATGTACATAATCTCACTGGACATTTCATCTAATGTCATCTTTCTAAAGTGTGGTATTAGTCTCTACGGAAGCTCATTCACTAGGAAGGATGACAAGAGATGAGGTGTTATAAGTTTCCACAAGAAAAGTATAGTTAACAAGATAAGTGGTCGAAGATCAATCGAATAGATTTAACGAACCTGACTTCAAATCTGATCTTGCAACACACCGTCCCAACTTGCTCAGACGAATCTTCAACCGACATTTCTAAAGAGCTCTGGCTCTGATGGTAGCAGTGATGGATGACTTAAGTCTCAGATCGAAGTTACAAAGATGAAATCTTGAAAGGCATATGTTGATAATGAGCTAAGAAGTCCAAATCGTTGATGAAGTTCTGGAAAGGTTTCCTATTTGATTCTAATGGTTATTGTCTTCTAAGAAGTGTTAGAAGACTTTGGGAATTTGGACAAAGTCTTTTGGAGGTGATGTGGGCCTTCTGGCTTTTTCTTAATAAATTTTCATTGACCATAAAATAAAATAAAATATTAAATAGCTATATAAAATAAAATATAGGAGTACTTTCTTCGTTCAAAAAAATAAACTTCTTTCTTTTTAATTTTTTAAAAAAAGAATAACTTTTTTTTTGCAACACTTTAATTTCAATTTTTCAGATGACATGCTTAAAAGTTAAAACCATAAGATTAAAAAACATTTTGATACGTTTAACATAACGTTATTGAGGACCACAAAAAGTCTTCTTTATTTTGGCGGAATGACTTGGGAGACCCCTGTACGTGGCTCCGTTCGTAAGTTAGACCCTCCTACTTATCAATTTGTTAACTGAACCCCTAAACTCATCAGAACGTAATATTATAAACCCTTTTTTCATCTAACTAGTGTGTGTGAAGTACAATTACTTACACGTGAAATTACATGTTAAAAATTATTTAAAAAATCAATTAAGCCACTTTTGTAATTTCTGGAAATTTTAGATAAGTATTTTTAAAAAAAATAAAATGATTCCAAATAAGCATGTTCTTCATATTTATTCCAAATTGAATACTAAATTCATGTCAAATAGATGAGATTTTTCCCCATTTGACTTGAAAATTCAAATATAAGTTCACCACCACAAATCCAACTAATCCCAATCACAATTTTGAATCAATTTCACAAATTCGCAAGATCCATTTGTTATCTTTCAAGTTTTTCTAACTTATCAATGAAGTTTAATTTTTTCAACATCCATCATTATCCTTTGTGTTAATTCATACTTAAACCTCTTTTTTGAAGCCTGAAAAAATAACTAATAATTTCAATACTTTTAGACTAAAACGTTAAAATCTAAATAACTTTTAGACTAAAACGCTAAAATCTAAATAACTTTTAGACTAAGTAGTTAAGGTGGGCGGTTGATTTGTAGTGAAAAAGAAATGTGGGTTGAGAAGAAAGTGGGATGAAAGAGAGAATGAAAGGAAGACAGTGGGTGTGGAATTTAAGAAGAGAGAAGGGGGGCTGGGGACAGAGGAGAGAGGGGTGGGGGTGGGGTGGGAGAGGGATAATTGAGGAAGATTGGTTTTTAATTTTTTTTTAAAAAAATTAATAATAATTATTATTATTTAAATATTTTTAATGTAAAATAACTTATTTACTCGCTGTTAAATGCGTGTAATCACGTAAATTTCCAACTCAGCATTATTAATGTCATATAAGTTCGGTCAATGATCAGATGAATTTAAAATATTATATTATGATGAATTTAGGAGTTCAGTTGACAAATTAATAAGTAGGAGAGTCCAACTTACAAACGAAACCAAATATAAAGATCTCCCAGATCATTTCACTTTTTTAAATATTACATCAAATCGAATGTCAGATCAACGTTAGTTAAATAATACTCCCTCCGTCCCTTTTTAGTTGTCCACTTTAGAAATGGCACACAGATTAAGGCAACAATGATTAGCACAGTGAAGTTACAATTTTACCCTTATGACAACTTTTCACTTCAAAATTACAACCACTTATTTGAATTCAAGTGAAATAAATTGGAGGGAAACAACATATACTTTTACAATTTTCAAGAAGTGTAAATAAGGGTATAATAGGAAAAAATTTGTTGTCCTTTCTTGATTTGTCAAAATGGACAACTAAATAGGGACAATTAAAAAAGGAAATATGGACAAGTAAATAGGGACGGAGGGAGTATGAAGTGGAAAGAGCATAAATAAAGTTCTTTTCCGATCGGAAATGTGGGCTACAATACATACAGCTGTTGATTGGGAGTTTTAAATAATAGTATGTATTTATTTATTTGTTTAATCAGCAATTATTAATATAATTGAAGTCCACCATTTCCTTCCTCTATATTTTTCTCAGTTTCCATTTCTCTAAACACAAAAGCATCAAATTAAGCAATCTTCTCAATAACCCAAGCAATGTCAGATTTCTAAATTGTTTTATTTTTTATCATACATTTTACTCTATTTTCTTCACATCATTATTCATTACTATTCTTTAATCAGTTTTTTCGTTGTTATTTTTAACTTTTTTATTTTACTTTATTTGCTTCTCTACTTATTTACTAGGCATTTTGTTCCATGGCGGCTCAAACCCGTTGGTGGCCTAAGGCCAAAATCAAACTAGAGGCCTTAAAAAAAATATAAATATTTTTATTTTAAATCTATTTTTCTAGCTTTTTGAGATGTAAAGTTGTTAATAATTTGTGTGTAGTTAATCTCTTCTAATAATTGTTTTCAATCGATAATATAGTCAAACCACTTAATCTTTTTGAGACATTGTCGATCTTAAATAAGATTTTATTATTTTTAATTTTGAAAAACTTCTTTCGGTTGAGGCGAATGTTACGGAAATTGTTAACATTATTCTATAAGAAATGTAAGCATTTGGAAAAGAATCAAGTCTTTTTATTTGATTATCTCAATTAGAGTATTGTCTTCTACTTTTATGATTTCCCTTAACACTTTTAATTCAGAAATAAGTCTAAACCGTTAATATCGGAGTGATTATTATGTTTTAAGGAACATTCAAGATTAAGACAAAATTTTTTAAAATTTTCATCAACTAATGATCTCAATTTTTTCCCACTAAATAGAATATCAAGAATATTTTCATATACTTCAAATTGTTCAAATTTATTTTGAAGTGAAAAGATGGCTTGATCTACTATGTATAAGAAGTAATCAACTCTAAATGATTCTTCAAGAGATCTTGTGATTTCATTATCAACATTCTCATCAAATTATTTTTTCTATAAATTACACGTTTCTTACGAAATACAGGTTCTATATTCATCTCTAATGCAATTTCCTTAGCCGAAATCATAGCACTTGTAAATCCTTATTCTCTATATGTTTTTAAAAAAGAAACTAAACCTCTTAATTGATCTATAGCGACATCAATATGCATATCTTTTGATTGTAAACTTTTGCTAATTGAATTTACAGCAAATAATACATCATACCAAATAGTCATAACCAATAAAAATTCAAAATTTTCAAGCTCAAAAATTGCTAAACAATTAGTTTCAC